TTAGCATCTGCGTGTTTAAAGCACTTTTTCTTATTGCATCTTGAGCACTCCCCCCGCTGTTCCCCTCCAACGTCCCCTGAGTCTAGTCTCAGCCCAGCCATGTACGCCGTCTGACCGATGATACGAGGCTTCTTTTTCTCGCCATTAGCCTTCTCCGCGGGTTTCTTGCGCTTCTTGGGTTCCTTCTTGGGCTCAGGTTCTTGTGTCACCGTCGGGGTGGGCTGTGGCTGTGGCTGATGGAAGTGGTAGGGCGCGGGTACCACCATTTGCTGGTACATACCACTCGCCATGTTCGCCATCTTTAATGTTTTGACTGAGAGTGACGTCACGCGCTCAGCCACGTATGGGAACGCCCGCCAAGTTTGAACGGCCTCGGGAAGGTCGCGCCGCCGAGTCATGACCGACCTCGCGCCCTGTCATTATGCCGTGTCGTGCTTTGCTGTGCCATCGAGAACGAACTCATGCATATATGGGTTGAAGTTACAGATTCGGAAGTTACCTCTCTGTGAACTGTCATATTGGGACTTTAATTGCAGCTGATTAAAACCCTGCTAATAATTCATTTACATACATGAGTACTAATATTATATTAAAAATAAAACGGATATAAAAAGCAAAGCACGTCTTTACAACTACAATACCTTATCTAGCCTGTTGCGGATAATTAGGTATAACACCTATACTGATTTCTAAATGATAAATACGAAACCAACAGGTGCATATATCCCCAGGTCATCCAGGTGAGCGGCCACCTGTCCACCACGTGCAAGGTACACGCGCAAACGTTCCTGACTCCTCCCTCCAGAGTGGAAAGAAAGTGCTGACAGAACACACTGGTTCAACTCACAGTTTGGCAGGACCGTAATATACGAGCTTCACTCACGCACGCGAAAAAAGAAACCCGTTACAGAGCTGCACCTTTGTTCTCTCGCTCGGTGCCATGTTGATTTGAAACTGTTCACTCGAAACATAAAAAACTGATATTTGCTGGAGAGGAGCAACAAGTGTGCGTGTGTATGTTTGTGTCCAGAATGAATGAAGTGCCAGGCATACCACGCTGTCTGATGACCTTGTTCTCAATTGGCATGACCTTGTGCCATGTAAGTTATTTAATGTTTTAATGTGGCAAATCAGTGTATTTTCAGCTAGAATTGCTCAGTAAATGTAACATACAATCACAGTGATCCACCAGATTATCACAAGCAGGTCTATTTTTAGAGAAACGCAAAGATATGAAATTCTAGTGGAACAGGACACTAGAAAGTGGCACACCAAGCAACCCTGTGACCGCGTGCTGTTGTGAAGCATGACACTCACTCTCCCTTCTCTTTATGAATGACAAGGTTAACTGTTAGGCGATGACATTTATGAAAAATCATCTTTTAGATCCTTCAGCATCTGCTTCATTTGATTAATAAAGATAAATATAAATCAGCATTACGTTTATGTGAAGAAATTGTGAAAATACCAAGAGACAGAAATAGTACTATGTATTTCGAAAAATTCACGCGTCTCAAAAACGATCGCCCTTGACATTGGGTACGAGTAGTGGAAAGAACAACTGGCAGTGTTTCCAAGCCGGTTTACTCTACAATCAGTGCGATAGTGCCCTGTAATATTTATCTATGTTAACTTAATGGAGGTTACATTGTCGTGCATTCATTTTCATCATGTGCTTATTAATTTAGTGCACGCTACTCAATATTCTCAAAACACAGCAAAATCTGAAGAATACTTGAGCGTGGCAAAGGAAAAAAAAACAAACCGAAATATTAAAAAAAACCTAGAGTGCCAGTTGAGAAATCTACAGTTTCCAAAACTTTTCGTTGTTGGCTTTGGTTTGCGGAAATAAAAATAAATATCCTACAGCCAGTGATTTTGCAGTTTTTTCATTCATCCAATCGTGTTATCAGAATGCATTTTAACTTACACGTGTTTAATATACAACAGTAAATCTATTCATTCAGAAGCTGAAGAGATTACAAACTTTCTCAAATAGGAAGCAGTTCTCGCTTTCGAGTTCATAGAACCCAAAGGGAAATATGAACAAGCTGAAACAAAGGGAAGAAAGCGAAATATTATAAAACCAAGGTATCGACGAACTCTCTCAGTTTTGGGAATGTTTCGTGATGTGGATCTCGCTTTTGATCGCCTGTTTCACTTCACTTTCAGCTGGAGTTATTAACTTGCGATGTACGACCTTCTTATGGCTATTTGATATTAATTAACGAATGCGAGTTATTATATGTGTTTTTAGGCTATATAATTTCGAAAATGAAACTCAAGAAGTGTTATTCAAGTGAAGTTAAACGCCGGCGCATGCACGAAGAAATAAGAAACAAATGTGAATCAGCGACAAATACTGAGGCACTTGTAATTTAATCGTTTCAGAATTTTTCGCCCCAAATATTAGTCGGATAGTAATGATAATCAGCTGAGGACTTGGCTTCCGTATTTCTTGCTACAGTTGCAGGTAGCCTAACATAATATGCATTTTTAT